ATATATATAAGTTCTAACTTCTTGGTACACCAGTTATTAGATGGTTGAAGAAGTAGATCCTAAGATAACATATTCAAAGCATTTAACTTCACAACATATTTGTAGACCTGAGTTGATGAATATTAAAAATTTAGCACAATAATTTGTTTTTTTAACAATTTTAAGCTTCATTATTACATACATATTTTTGAATACCTATTTTTAGTATATATGCTTCTATTATGCTTCACAAAAAATTGGATACATGAGTTTGCTCGATGTACTACAAAATCATTAAGTTAAACTTAATAAAGAAACTATTTCTTAATAAAGAAACTATGACTATTTTCACATATTTTTAACTGATCTTCAGTTTTAAATTAGTACAATTAAGGTTTGCTATAAATGTATATGTGGACTGTTTTACTTCTGAGGTTATAGTAAATTGAAAAGTATTAATTACATTTACAATTTATACACGCAATTTTGTTCCTTTACCTCTACAAAAGTTAGAATCATTTGTTATGAAAAGCAACGCTATTAAATTATAGTTTTAATTATTAATATTGCATTGTTTTAATTAAAACCCTTTCATAATTTTTATTATACACAATGGATTCAAAATTAATTAAGATGATTACATGGATCAACCTAAGTATTTATATCCGAGTTATAATTGAAATGAAAACTTGCCGGAACATATTACATTTCACAATATTTTTGTTACAAAAGATGAAGTAATAAAATACTTTAATTAAACCTAACGAAAAACAACAAAGATTTACGGTAATGTGGAACTTGCATCAAGATAGTTAAAGGAGCAATTAAGCAAAGCTTTCAAAGTAAATTTATTTTTGTAATATTTATTGAGTGGCGCCTTTAATTTATGGGTTGCAGTAACATTTCGTTTTATAACATTTTTTTAATTATTATTTTGAAATATAAATTATACTAAACATTACATTAAGCAATAAATGCCAATCATCATGAAATATTATAGTTTTTAATTTACTCAATTCAAATAAAAAATTACTAACATTTTGAAAATATTCCTTTATCCTTACTGTTCAAAAACTAATTAAAAACCGAGCTTGGCGGTTGTGCCAGGAAAAGGAAAATTCAATACAAGAAAAAATACATCAGAGAATATTTGTTAACTTTGTTTAAAAAGAATATGTTGAGAACTGTGAAATTGCACTGCTCCAGTTCATAAAGCTTTGAATATATATAAGTCATTCTTATTCTTATTTATAAACAATGTTCAGATTATGCCTGAGTGAGTTGCTTGAGCAATAATAAGTACTAATGAGATGATGTTTATTTAATCGACATATAACTCATATTTCCCAGCACTAAAATAATATTTACCGTTGATGCAAAACGAGATGGTCGATTGATAGAATAATTTCACTCGATAGATAGAACCATCTCAGAAGTTCTTTCGCCCCGCGATAACCATTAAAATTCTATCTTTCAACGCTAATTGAGCCGTAATTTAAATTCCATCCCACGATACGTGTGTTCGCCGCACAAATGATATCCGACTTCCGATAAGGCAAAAAATCGCAACATGCTCTCATATATTGTTCTTCTACATACAGTATTATTAGATTCCAATAGACCTAATAATGCAATTTTGTATTTTATGGCGCCTGAGAAGCACATACAAAACCTGCTAGGTAGATCGTGAAGAGCTTGATTAATGCATGCTTCATTAGTAACAAATTAACTTTTTAATTGCTATTTTATAATAATACTTTTATACTGCTTGCGAGCTTGACACGAATACTCGATGGATTCAAAAACATCTAATTAAATTTATTGATTCTACGCCTAAAGGATGATTTTATATAATTGACGGGAAGAGGCATTTATTATTTACATTACTCTGTTGTAAATGCAATGAGATTGAGTCTTTATTTTAAATATTATAAATTTATATAAATAGGTAGTATATACATTATATATACAATGGGTAGTACTGCCCTAGGGCAGGTCCATGGGCTGAGACAAACTCTAACTCGATTCAGGGAAATATAGTATGAGAGATTTTCTTTTGCAGTGTCCAAAAATGAGCTATGTTTAGTTAAAACATATTTGATCTATATTTTCGAATTTATCATATATATACATATATATATATATATATATATATATATATATAAATAATAAATGGTGCAGTCTTAAACCGCAATAGAGCGATGTAAATTGCATTCATAGATATTACTCTCCACATTACTATATGAAAGACAAAAACTATTAGCTTATTCATTTCCTGATTTAATATGAGAGTTCTTCAGTTGATCAACTTCATCTGTCTTGTAACAGAGAACTACACTATTAATACTACATAGAAGTATAGGATATTTATAATACCAAAAAAATTTTTTTTTTTTTTTTTTAATTTCAATAATTATTACAACTGCTAATTTATTAACATCAAGTAATATTGATAAATAATAATATAAATTTAAATAAATAATACCAAAATAAATAGTCGACTTTGCCAAGCCTGACATCGGGCAACTTTGATGTCAAATTTCCACTTGATGTTATAGATCTCAAATATAGCCTCAAGTGAAAATCTCCTCTCGTGGGTAGAGTTGCATATATGATAAAAATTTCAGCAAATACTTCGAAAATAGATAATTAGTCATAACTGGACCGGAGAACTACTGGGTTGCCATCCATTCAAGATTTATATAATAAGAAAAGTCAAAACAATTACTGAATGACCTCAGTGTGACAGATTGTAATTAAAATAATAATAAAAAAAAGTCGACTTGGTGGACCTTCTCTGAGGCAGTCGCACGACAGAAAGTTTCTTTCCATCGAGCTATTATCTTTCATTAATTAATATTTATATAAATTGCACTAATAAATAAATATACCTGATTCCTGTAATCTAAATTATGTGCCAATAATATGCAAAAAAGATGAAAGAAAATAGTAATTAAAATTCTACATTATATTTTACAAAAAATAATTTGTTTTTATCAACTTATGTAGATCGATATCTTCCAGCTTCCGTAATTTATTGGATGTGATTGCATTAATAACTATTAATTTATTATATTCATTCTATATGACGTTTATCGCAGTGCTTTTCACACGAATCGAACTAACTGAGTTACAGGTCTAACCTGAAAAACATCCTACTAACTCGTAATATTGAATGTCTGCTACTAGCCATAGATATCTTCCTGGTTTGATCTCTTTCTCTCGCATAATTATAGAACATGTGAATTACGAATGGAATGTCGCAAAAATGCACATATTTTATGAGAATATACTATATTCAAGCTTAATCACTAGGTGTAATAAATCTTTATATATGTTGCACTGCCTGTTGAAGTAAAAATATAATTTTAATGTCATCACAGTAAATTTTTCTGATGACATTAAGTAGGTAATAATAATTATTACCAATCTTTGCTGGTTCTTCTTTGATTTTTTAGTTCTTACCTTATTGAATTTATTTAAGACAAAGTGACTTTAATTTTTGTGATCTCTTTTTTTTCTTCATGAATATGCCATGTAACCCGACTTATGTAATATTCAGTACAATTACTAAAATAATAACCAAATGTGAATTATTAAAATAATTTTTACATACAAAAAGTTGATTATTTCAGGGTTAACCACAGAAATAATCGAATGTAACAAATAGTGTACTAATCACAAATATTTGCTATATGCCATTTATATTTAAGCTGGTATATATTATTTTATTGTTCAATATACCATTTTTGTGGCTATAAGTGAAAATAATTCAAAAAACTGCTGTGAAATGTGTGACAAAAAATAACTCACATATATGCCTGCTCAATTATATACTACCACAAGGAGGTGTCAGAAAAAATGTTAGTAATCCACGAAATAAAATTGTAATAAACCTAAACAAAAGTACTCCGATTTCTCACTACAATAATTAAAAATTAATTAGCGAGAGCATTACAAATTGAATATGTCTTTGAAGTTCATTCTCAATGTGTATATTGTATTGTATTTTATATTGTTCGAACCATTCGTTTCGGACAAAAATAATGCGAATTCTTCATCTGTAGTATAATGGTGGAAATCTCGTATAAAAATATAACCGTGTAGATTTGTTCTCTCCTTCCTCGTCGTTCACAATAGGTATGCATCTTGGACACCCAATTGCAATTTTAGCTTTATTCCAACAGCACTATTCTTCTCGTTTTTATTTTTTTTTAACAAAAATGCGCTAACAATCGCATAACTTGGCATTTGACTGGGAAGATTGAGGCAAGAACGTACCCATCTTGGCCAGCTCATTATTAAATTCTTCGTAGAGTTTTGAACGGAAATATACGGAAATGTACTATAAATTTATATATATATATATATATATATATATATATATATATATATATATTTATATGAACCAATAATAAAGTAAATATCAAACTCCTTAATTCTCCTGTTGACTGCTTATCGGCGTTATCCTCATTCATTTAATTATTCTAAAAAAAAATTTAGTGGTTTATTATACTTTTTTTCTAAATAGTAAACAATAATTATCAATTATGTGTGCAATTTATCTTTACCATAAAAAAAATCTATTAGATTAAATAGGTACTAACTAATTCATAGACATCGATCTGATACAAGTTCTCAAAATGTTTTGCTTCTCACAAACATCATGTGTGGCGGTGTAAGGAAATAATATATTAAAATTATTCTTGCAAAAAGTTTATCGATAGGTTTTATTGTATAATTTGAAGAATAAATTAAAATAAATTTATATTAATGTTAAAAGATGTATAAAAATATTTTAAACCGGTTTGCATGATTCCTCAGTTCATTCACGTATGAAAAACAGTTATACGGGACAATTCTTAAAAATGCTTGCACATGAATTTTACTTTTAACTTTGTGCGCTCGCGACAATTGAAACCTGTTTTAGAAACAATGAAATGGTTCTGCGTGAAAGTGTGATCTGCTTTCAGTAGTTTATGTTGGTCGTAACCTCAAAAAGGCAATTAAATTGCCAGGCAATGACCCATGAGAGTTTGGGTATAACATTGGGAGTTGGTTATAAACAAATAATTGGTTATAAATCTGATGATGGGAGAAAAATCAATCAAATTTCACAAGGCGCCAAGTTTAATGTAAGTCAAATACCCGCAACCGCAAGTACTTTATACTTTGATACATTTCCTGAATCAATTGAAAAGGAATCCTTGAAAGCAGACGATTAAATATACATATACATAATATATATATATATATATATATATATATATATATATATATATTAATGTTATAAAAGTATATATAAAAGGGTGTGTGCGTGTGCTTGTTTTTTTGTAAATAAAGAACCTGTGCGTGTGCTTGTGTTTTTGTAAAATAAAATAAAAAAGAAGAGGCAGAAGGCCGACTACCTATGGTAGGAAATGAAAAATAACAGGTTCGGTAATAAAAATACAAGATCTAAACTTTTCACAGCAACAAGTATAGGAAGCAAAATGTTTCCTTAGAATGCAACATCAATGGTTCACGATCTTTTGAATTTATCGTTACTGCTATTAAAAATATAATATAAAATATTATAATAGTTTGTTCTAATATAAAAACAAAAATAAACTTTATGAATAATACAGAAGATTCCAATAATAATTTAAACCGCGATATAGAACGAATATATATAAGTATTGAAATATATCAATTTTCCAATATAATCTTTGAAAACTATTTGTATGGAGATCACAGAAGTGCGAATAAAACATATTTATAATGGTTTACATATAAATACATGTTTTCTCACAACAGGATATCATCTTTTATGATTATAATCCAGCGCACATTACAAAATATTTATCATCGCGTCCTAATCCTATTGTATCGTGGAATATGTATGTTCGAGACAAGAATTTGCTCCCATAAGAAATGTTTGGACATCACAATTTATGATTGCATTCAAATAATTTGTCACACACATTAATATCAGAATAATGGTAAATTTATATGCAGGTCTTTTTTATGAACAGCAATCAGAATTTAGAATCCTATAAGCTCTTGTGCTGATTTGACTCAATACTCAGCCACTCGGTTCTATAGAGTGCAACCCAAAGAGTTGTCCCTCTTTGTGTGATTGAATATTATTGCAATTTCTGTAATAGGGCGAATATTTATTGATGCAGCAATGTCGGATCACTATTTTTATTTGGCAACATATTGCTATCTATACTTCCAAGTAAAAATCGTTGTCACTACTACTGCTTGACAACAGGCTGCTCGCACCGGGGTCGAACTCGGGACCTAGTTGTCAAACTTTCAATTGAAAGTATTTTATCGACTTGATTCTGCTTTATCCGTAAGCAAGAAGAAAAACTGTACCGGCAAGAAATGCTGACGATTCTATTGCAGAACCTGCATTACGATCGCGTGTGCGTCAACGGCCTTACCGTAATGTAATGACATGTATGATTATGCATTCAGCATAGGTATGCATCTATTGATGTACTATGCATTATTCAATAAATATAATTACACGGTAATGCTTCGTCCAATTGATATAAAACCTACAATGATCGACCAGACGCGAAGCTTTGGCCGAGCACAAGAGAACACTTATTGCCGGACAAAATTAATCTTCGTCCACTGCGCAAAGTATAAAGCGACCGACAGCGATTGCGAAAAACATTAGGACGAACGACATGCGTCAGAATTTACTCTGTCATGATATTTTTACAGACGCTGTGCAAAATTTTCGTAATAAACCATTTTTTATTGACGTATAAAATACTGTTGAAACATGTTATAAAAAGCTGTATAGAATATGAGGAACAATAAGTTACAAATAAACGCATTACAAAATATCATCAGCGATGGAGATCAAGAATTTTAGTACAATTGTATTTAAAAGAATGATATTTCAGACAATATATAGGGTGTCCCTGAACTCAACGTCAACCCAAAACGAAGTGAGAGTATTGTCCGTAAGAATATCTTGAAAAAATTTACAAAGATTTGATTCCACGTTAAAATAACGAGCTTTTACGTGCAGTCTAGAGCTTTGGTAATATTGTGACATTTTTTATGATTGTGGTTAATTTTTATTATTGTTATTTATTTAAACTTTGTGACAACAACAATGAAGAACATTTCTCTATAACCACACTCAAAAACTAGTTGGTTTGGTATTTAGCCTTGAGGCAAGTTACATGAACTTTCCGATATGTGTGAATAATCGACTTAATCAATAAAAAATAAATTAATTTATGAATGATTAAAAGTATTCCGAGTGGATTTATTACACATAATTGAAAACGAACGAACAGGTTAATCGGAGTATTATCTAAAAGCAAATTTTCGAAAATCAATAATTTTTTAATTGAACCAGTTTGCGTAGGACTTTAATGATTTATTACGTTTATTAAGACCAAGTACTCTATCGTTATACCAAGTGAATCGTCTAATTTTAATTTTAACAAACGTCAAAGAAACTACTCATTTTCTCAAACTTTGATGATTTTTTGAAATTGAACTACTTGTCGTAAGGCCGTAACATTTGAGTAAGTTCTATAAGACCATAGTATATATCGCCAAAAAAGTTCCACAAACATCCTCTAAGAAAACGGCTCGGTAGATTTTCATCTAAAACTAATCAGTATCATTCCCAACTAATATCTTTCGAACGGTTTTAGAGTTTTCAAAATCGATTCAAAATTGCAGGCTAAAACGTAGACGAAAATTTTTTCACTTTTCTGCAATTTACAAAGAAACGGCTCAGCTGATCGTCGCACAAAACTCAGAAACTCTAGTCCTCGTCGAGATACATCGAATGGCTTTTAAATTTTTGAAATCGGTCCAGCGATTTTTGAGAAAACATCGATTTACGGCAAAAAAATCTGTTCACATACACATACACATACACACACATACTTTTTCCAAATTTGGTCTCATTCGATTCAGAATGGCTTGAAACGTCGGAAAAACATAAAATTAGTGAATCGTATTTTTTGATGAAAACATAAACTTCTTCTTTCTTCGGGAAGTTAATAATGACACTATTCATTCATATTGCTCAAGTTTTCAAGAGTTAATACTTTTTATTGAACTATAAAATAAAATCGGTCGTAAAATTATTACTACAATTTCTGTAATAGGGTGAATATTTATTGATGCAGCAATGCCGAAACAATACTCGGAAATATATTACTATCTCTATTTCCAAATAAAAACTGTTGTCAATAGGCTGCTCGAAAAGGTATCGTAACCCGGGATATCTGGATTTTGGCCCTGTAGTTCAAGCTTACAAACGACCCACAAAAATAAGTAAAAGTAATGAATTAAGCGTGACCAGCACTTTCCCCAGATTTAAACACCTTGGATTTTATTATTGAGGCTGGCTATAGTTTCAAAGGTGTAACTCTTTCATATCATTTATAAAAAGTTGTACAGGGGAAAAGAAAAATTAATATATGGTTCTATAAATATTTTTTTCGCTATTAAAAATTTGCAATTATATTTAAATTAACTACAGCACTGGAACGATTAATTGCATTTTATGGCATAAAATTATTTTTAAAAACTTTAGTCACATCTATAAATAATTAATAGTCGGACATAGTTATTATTTTTCTACGATCGTGACGCCTGCGGATAACAATATCTTCAATGTTTCTTATGTGAAATTATAATTCTTCGAATAAAAAACCATTACCCCACGCATAGCTCGTGTTTCGCTGATTGGCGTGCCCTCGCAGGTCGGGGCTGGTGCTAGTGTTGATGCTGGTGCTAGTGTTGATGCTGGTGCTGGTGCTCATCTCCCTTAATGATTACGCCGTAGACGATTCGTCATGACGTGATAACTTTGAATAGAATTTGCGTTAGTTTTTTCTTTGCATAAGTGAAGTTTGCGTTGCGGTTCTCGCCTGCAATTCACCCGATGACCTTGCCTGAGTTCGAGGTTAAGCTGGAGTCGGTAGCAGTAAATTAGAAAAAGCGCTTTGCGTAGTTTCAGATTTTATTTGCATGCTGAAAGCATTTAGGAAATCTGCGGATTGAATTTATAATACACTTATTGCACAGGATTAAAACTTTTCTATTGCTGCGAATGTCTGTGGTTAACAGCATTTTATTGGAGGTTTTTCAATTTAATAAATCATTTAAGTAAATTATATTGACTTCAGGATTAAAATGTAATTGAATTTGTATACTAAATGATGCCAATAAAAATTCTCGAATTTCTAAAAACGTATGAAGTTATGTAGATAGTACAAAAGAGGTCACTAGAAAATAATTTTAGAAGTTAATTGTCGAGGAAAATTAATATCGTTTTTTATATATTATATGTTATGATTGTCGAATTGAGATCATTGTTGCTTCCCTGATAAATGTAAATTTATAATAATAAAATAATATAATATATATATATATATATATATATATATATATGTAAATATATTAGATGGTAGTCTTGGATTTGTAAATATTTGTAGAGCTTCGAACAAAGAATCTTTATTTATTTACTGTCGACGTTTCGGACATCTGTCAAGAAACATTTTCTTGATCAGATTTAAGCAAGCAATATGTTTAAGAAAAGCAGAAGATGATGGCTTTTATATATAAAAATGAATAGAATTTTGGAAAAAATAATGTACAGAAATATGACAATATAATCAAAATGAAAATGATAAAAATAAATAAATGGATTATATAACAAAATGTTAAAAAATTAGAAAATTTTAGAAAGCTTTAAGAAAAGGTTATTGAAAAAACAGAATATTACAGAAGCTCTACAATAGATATATATATATATATATATATATATATATATATATATATATATTAGGGTGGTCCTTAAATGGTCATTTTCGAATTCCTTGCTCCCAGGGGCTCAAAGTTCCAAAAGATAAAAAAAACAATTCTCTGAAAGTTTTAGCTCTTAATATTAACGTTTAGATAGAGCGCAATTCAATCAAAGTTTGTATGGAAAGAGCATGGAAAAAATTTGAAAATTTAAAAAAATGTGTTAGGTATAAACTTAGCGACAATGAATGAGTTTTATTAATTCATTGTTCGCTAAGTTACATCAAAAAACATTTTTACAATTTTTGAAAATTTTTCCATGCTATTTCCATACAAAACTTTGATTGAATTGCGCTCTATCTAAACGTTAATATTAAGAGCTAAAACTTTCAGAGAAATGTTTTTTATCAATTTGGAACATTTGAGCCCCTGGAGCAAGGAAATTCGAAAATGACCATTTAAGACCACCCAAATATATATATATGTATGTCGAAAACCAGTATCTATCAAGTAATCAAAATCAAATATAAAATTCATTTTCTATAAAATCTAACGGATCTGCGCATAGCTTTTATTATTTCCTCAGAGCTACTAAAAAGATATGAAAACAGCATATAGACACATGTATTGTCTTTTACATTCTATTTATACTTTTATGTAAATTAAATTTGATGCTTTTATAACTACAATTTTTATCAGTAAATTGGATATACAGATAAATAAGGTTTATAAAATGAATACTGAATTATAATTACGAACAAATCCGATATCGAGCATTATCGATATAAATTTTTACTTTGAAATATAGATCTCAAGTTTGTTTCCAAGTGAAATAGCCCTTCCCGGACATTGCGACATCAAATTAAATAATAAGTTAGCCCTATAAGATAAATTCTAATAATAAAATTATAAAAAATTGATGGATTAATCGTTGTCTCACCATCTAAAAATACGACGTAAGGAACAGATTCAGCTCAACAGTTTATAAGACGTAAGGTTCTGTTTGCTTATAAATACGAGAAAAGAAAATTTAACTCTCAAATTTTATAATCAAAAACAGTAGGAGAATGTTTATTAACTTTGAATCGCATTTCGAACATTTTGTAGTACTAATAATAGCTTTGTTTATATTTTCTTATATCATTTTTTGGATTATAATTTGGATGAAAATTTTTTCTTTAATTTTTATTTGAACAGCGATCACAACTTGTGGGTGAGCTGTTGTGATTAATATCTTACAAACTACGTTGTTTTATTACAGATGGCAACCCAAACAGTTTCACATCTCTATATGATAAATTTTTATTACAATCTCTGTAATAGGGCATGTATGGTGCAACAATGCCGGGTGAGGGCTATTTTCACTTGGAAACATATTGCTATTTATATTTCGTTGTCACTGTTGCCTGATAACAGGCTGCTCGAAGTGGTATCGAACCCGGGACCTCTGAAACATGTCCCGTCGCTCTTAACCGCTTTACCTACGGGCGAGCCCTGGATGACAATATACGCATATTTTGCATACTTATTTTAGACCTGTTACGCATACCATAGTGATTTTGGTAAAAATGTGTGTTTTTCTATTGCTCAGATTGAGAAATTGAGTGTAGCTTTATACTAGCCTGGCGTCGATATCTAGAATATTTTCTAGTGTACGTTCAGCCTAATATTGCTATCTTAAGGGTAGGGTACTTGGATTTTTGAAAAAAATCGATTTTTATTTTTTGCATTTTCATGAAGGGTAAGATCTGAAAATATTCTCTGAAAATTTCAAGTTGAGTACGTGATTACTTTTTGAGTTATTGGCTCTTACCAGCGCGTGACGCAGTGGAGAGGCTCGATCTTATACTCAGATCATCTCCCCACCTCCTGATGTTTTAAACGCTTTCCAAACCGATTTACGACGATCTCCGCAATATAATTTACTTTTAAGATGTGTAGTTCAAGATTAAACCCATAATCAGAAACAAATAAAAGCTTCAACAAACTAGTGTAAAAAGATACCTAGAACCGTGAATACTAGTTTTACTATCGTACAAATTGATGAATGCATAAACTATGATTATTATTGAGTATGGATACCCTAGAACCTAATTGTGTGTATATTCCCATTGGTATGCTGAAAAAAAATTGGATGCGGCACGTGTGAAAGTGGCAGATCAGCGAGCCAACGAGAACACTCAGGAGGCCAGAATGCTTGTAGCAACAGCAAATGGAAATTTGGAAATGCACATGACTGATAAACTATTATATGGCCCAGATAAGATGCTCGGTTAAGTAATTCAATAATCGAATTTCTGTACGTAAATCCAATGTGAAACTTAAAACGCGTTTTTCTCAAAAATATGTTTTTGAAACGGTGGACCACTGTAACTCGAAAACACTATAAATTGAATGAAAATCATACAGCTTTTAGAATACTAATAAACTTGTGCTGATCGAAGGATTTTTATTTTTTCAAAAATTTAATTTTTGAAAGGACCAATTAACTGTTGATTTTTACCCAAAAATTTTAGTTTTTTCTTTCTGATGCTGCCTTATGTTAATTTTTGAAAAAAAAGAAAAACCTTCGATCCGGCCCGCGGAGTAACTATTTCATAAAACTATTTTTTTTATTTTTAATTTGAGTGATTTTGATGAATCTCTAAGGAGTTATGATGGTCACCGCCAGGCCGTTTTCGAAACGGGTCAACAAAAACAGGCTGTAACTTTGGGATATTAATTTTTTTTCTGAAATGTTGGTACCGCAAGTCCAAAACATTGTATAAAAATGCTGTATTAATATTTGCTCAGTGAAAACATCGTGTAATAACAAAAAAAAAATACTGAAAACACTATTTTTTCGTGCCTGCAAGTACCCCTACACTTAATACGAATGTATTGCTTTTGCTGTGATTTTTTCTGATTTCGAGCATCCCTTCTCGTGCTCGGGACTGAGCTTCGCTATGCACGATTTGATTTTCCATCGTATCGACGCGATTGGCAATTTTTAATTAGATACATGCGATGCACCGAGCGTTCGTTTTTCCATGCGCTTCGTTTATTTTTCCTATTTGATTTCGGTGCATTTGGGCGTATGATTTTGGTATCTCCTCTATATATCTATCGAGCTAGGTTATTATGTCTGCGCCTTGCTTAAAGAACAATTCTCTCATGAAATGCAATTTTATTGGCGGCCGACATGAGATCTTGCCCGACACAGATTCGTCTGCAAATAACTTAAGAGTCAAGAATTTTATCTAGAGAAAAGAGAAAAGGATTTTATTTATGTGGCGTGTCTTAAATGCAAATAGTACCTAATATAATGATGCTATCTATTTCTTATTGTTGTTTCTTGTTTTTCCATTGTTTTATAGTCGTTATAAAATATGCTTTGCAGACAGTTTTAGGAAATTTACATATATATAATATTTTATTGATTATAATATATAAAATTATATATAGATATAAATATATATATATAAATATATATAAATAATATATATATATAGATGTATATGCAATGGTTGAAGTCATAAAATGTTTTATATGAATTTAAAGAATAAACCACAAACCTATTTCGATAATTCAGTAAAAAAGAAATGTAAGTTTCGGCGATACTAAATCACTAATGCTATAAGGATGCATAATATCTAAAAATATATAATATAAAAAAATATTCTTTATTATATCTTTATATTTAAAAATGGAACTCGATATTATGTTAGGTACACTAAAGCTCGAAAACGGCTAAACCGATTTGGTCAGTTTAGTCTTGAAATATTCGTTATAGTCCAAAAATTGGGGAAAAAGTGAAAAATAACTTCAAAAGCGCCTAAGAACTTTACATTTTCAATTTAAATGAAATATAAAAAAAGTGGCAAATAAGCAGTTTAATGTGAAGTAAAGATGGTCGGCTTATGAGTCAGTTGTCAAAATGTATGGTTATATGTTAAATTTTAGTGATGTATCTTTCAATACTAAAGTTCAATTAGAATTATTTTTTTAAATATTAATATGAAAATACACGTAATTGCTTTTGATATAGTTCCTATTAAATTCAACATGATGTTTTAGATAAAGACTATAGTTTTAGATAATATAGCTCTGAAAGTACCTACTCATTTGTGTTTCTAAAACATTTTTTAGATTATATTATTCTTTTATTTAAGGCATTTACATTAAGATCTTAAATTTGCAATTGATCAAAATGGAAATTTTGTCTAATCACTTATTTCAAGAAAACCGAGTTTCAAGTGTCGCGGAGAAATTAAACTGTTGAGGATTACCATGGTCAAACAGCTCTGAAATTAATTTGAATCATGTTTAATTCTCTTGTACAGATATTGAATAATTAACCTTTAAAAATATCAGAAAAACAAAATCGAGTTTTTTAAATTCTAGACCAGAAATAAAAAGTGTTATAACCACCATAAAGCGAACAAACAATTCACTTTTCTATTGAAAATAAGTTTGAATAACATTATTAATATAGGTATTTTGTACTATTGTATGTTAATTCATGTAAAACTTAAATATTTTTTTCTTTTTTTGCAGAAAATGCGGGACCATACATTAGTTTTAGCGGTCATCATAGCGTTCTGTAATGTCAGCAGCATACTAGGTAAGCATTTATCTCTACATACATTCTGCAAATAATTTAACTGCAATTTATATAAAGATAGAAGTGTGTATGAAGTTAAAGGATTATCGTAAAATTCCTAACTTATTATTTACTTTCATAAACCGTTGCTCTTAATTACAAATTCTTAGTTATTCCTGAGAAGAATTTTAATTTCCGTTCGAATTTTATGACGAATCTATAAGTGTTCGTAATACATGTGTAATAGGTCTTAGAAGAATAAAGAAGTCACTTCGAAGAATTTCATTATAAGATAAAAAAAAATCTTTACAAAAGCCTAGAACTGTCAGAATAATTATATTTTACAATTTATTAGTAATTCATCATGTAACGCTACATCCTCTCTTTTAACGTTATAAAGTTGATGGTAGCCAGCATCCTTTGTTAGTTTTCCATATTTTACTACGCATTTTCTTGATTATTTGATAGAATGCATAGAACAAATTAGATAACAATAGTAAAGCAATTAAATTCTCTATTTCTTAGATCATATGACCTAAACAATGAAATTATTTCTTGTGCAATTAAGAAACTAATCCGAATACAAAAGCAGCGAAAGTTAATTAATGTACGTCCACAAATTAAAACTCAGTTTCAATAAAATATAGAAGTATTGTAAATGGTTTAATACAGCAAATACACAATCTGATCATAAAGGATTTTCAATGAACATATCGGAGCCTGAGGCAGAGTAAAATTGCAGAGTATCTCTATCGATAGCACATTTTTTATAGATTTATATATTAAACATGCAAACAGAGAATAAATATTAGATGTATTAATTAAAAATATTTTATAAATAAATTAACTACAAAATATATTACTAAATATAGATTCAATGAAGATTACATTAGCTCTCAGATCAACAAAAAAAATTGAATGTAGAATTGCAGAAAACTGTGTTATCAAACCAGAGTGCATTTTGCCTCAACTAAATAGAAATACAATTTTCCTAAAGATTTTGTAGACTATAAGTTGTTTTCCATAATTAAAGATGTGGAAAATCTTTTTAGCATCACTGTTATTAAATTTGATTTGAATCTTTTTGGACGCTTTTGAAACTTTTTCTTTTAATCTTTTATTATTTTATCCGATATAGAAAAACAAAATAAAAATATTTTAAGAAGGAAGGTTTTAATATTAGTAACTCACGATCCAGGAGTTATTCGTACAAACGATTTGTAAATTTTCTAGCTAATGTATTTAACGTAATTTTTTTGTATTTTGACATTAACTTTTATTTTTTAGGTCGAATAGCTTTCGAAAAATTAACAGATTTCGATTTCACGGGCAGCACATACTATTCTGTTAAAAATCTTTCATTATACGAATGTCAAGGATGGTGTCGTGAAGAACAAGAGTGCCAAGCTGCTGCTTTCAGGTAAAATATATTTAAAGTAAAATAATAATAAAAAATAATATATGTTAAATAATATTATCGTAGACCTAACCGTCAAAAAATTATCGGATAAATATAAAATACAAATCTTATGAATAAAAAATTAAAAACCCAGTACAGATGCAATTACCACTATTTTTGTAAATCAGAAACTACTATCGATTCAAATTGATCAGAAAACAAATTTATTATTTAATATATTTTTTTATTAACTAACTTTTTATTTACACCAACTTGCATCGATCTCTAGATAATTAAATTTCAATTCTACGAATAGAATTATAAATATCGAGTCAAATCAAATAAAATTCCAAGAATAAGAATTATACGCGGATAGAGTATTAAATTTTGTTACCGCCTATGCATTTAATACTAATTCAAAGAAAATCAATAAAGATTGTAAAAATTATAGGCTCACGATTATAATCAATAGGCTGCAATGAATTATATATATTCTGACATGTTGTTTATTAACTAAAATTGAATATATATAATAAATGTCAAGAGGATTCATATCACTAATTGTAAGGTTCTCACACAAGCTTTTTTAAGGAAAATTACTTAACTGTGGAGTATTTTCTCATTTGTATATCTAAATTATATCAAATATATCAAATTGTTATTTTGCATATAACATTATACTAAAACAAGTGAACATGTGAAATATGTATATGTGATACGCATAGAATAAAGTAAGGTAAACTCAATGCAAATATAATTTTCAGCACAATTACTCAGTATTAGGTCTCACGAATTTATAGTTTCAATATTTTTATTCAATTGTCAAAATGTTATATGGCTATGCAAACAAATAAGCAATAAAGCTATAATTACTTTAGATCCTGCGAGTATTAAATATTAAAATCTTCAGTATAAATTATAATTAGAAATTATTCTATTCTCAACGGATGCCCAACGGAATAATTTCTATCAAACGCATCTTTATTCGTGTGAAATACCGTAAAAAGTTTTTAATGTTTAATTTCTAAGTCATGATACGTTATTTCAAGGACATTATCTTCTAAGAGATTCAGTAAACTGCATGCAAAGATAAAATTATTAACATAACTATTTTTTTAACACCTAAAAAGTTGTCCATTAACCATTGCCTTTAATTAAAATTTGATAAAGCTATTATTGATTAGTAAAAGTTACATAATAATTATAAATATTATCAATTATCAGTATTACAGCAAAATAAAATATATGATAGAATTCTGAAGCATTTCTACTTCAAATATACATTTTCGCTAATGACTGCAAATCTTTCCGTACATTTATAGATAACCGTCATGCTCTACTTTGACGATTCTCATTTATCAACAGTTCGTCAAGTGGCTTTCAACATTTCCACGTAGAAAACAATCACATAAACCTACTAAATAAATATAAGTTAAGACAGTTATTCCAATCGTAAGTAAATTCCACAACATTTTTAATATGGCCTGAAATATATAACACTGAATCAGAGGTTCCGCATTCTTCTCCGGTTTGACAAGTTTGATGTCAAGCAGTAGTGACATTGGTTTTTACTTAGAAACATAGATAGCAATATATTTTTAAGTAAAAAAGACCCTGATACGGCTTTGCTGCATCAGTGAAAATTTATCCTAAAACAGAAATTGTAAAATATAAAATTTATCTCCCAGATATGAGTCATCCGATGTGTTGCCATTTGTAAAACGACCGTAATATAAAATCAAACCATCACGACAGCTTATAGAACTGTGCAAAGCTGGATAGTTGTTCAAAGCAATTTAAAAAAAATTAATACATATTAATATGTATATCTTAAAATTTTGGACTCCCTCAAATAAAGATGATAGAAATGGAACTTACTCATAATTTATTAAACAAAAATATGCTATTTGAATGGATATGAAGATATTAACTAATCATTTATATTATTGTTCAAAAGAGGATAGCGGTATGTAATAAGACATTAAAATACTGTCATTTATTTTTTTTGTGTATTTAAGAAACTAAGCGAGCATAACAAAAATTACCGTTGATCAAGACAACTGATTGTTATAGAATATAATATCATATATTTTGAGATTTAATTTTGGGTTTAGATTTAAGTAATAATTTGGAAAATAGATCTAAAGATCTAAAATCGAAAAGTAGCATCGTCATACTAATAGAGTAATTGAAAATAAAGTTGTTCAATAACAGATTAAAATACCACGAAAAATTACCAGGTCACCCAAACGAATATTTAAACGAATTGAGTGAAGAATTTAAAGGAAGATTTAAAAATGGCCATATGATCTTAAATGAAATGTCAAAAATATAAAAAAAGATATTTCATTGGAGATAAAAAAATTATCAAATTGTCTTAAAAAATAATGTATATTTAGATCGGCAATACATAGAATAGTTTCCCTATATTGTTTAAATGTAGTAAACATCTCTACATATTCTACATAAAACGTTATTTATATGTAAGTTATTACTTTAAATTATCATTTCACAAAATCAGTCAATACAAGCAAAACCAGAATTTCGATACAGATTTATCACGTTAAAATATTTAATTATTTAACAAGTTAAAATATTTAATTATTGAAATGGTTGAGATCTATGAAGCAAATGCTGAATTTTCATTGTGTACATTTATGTTCTTAAATATCTGATTATGGAACATACAATTTTAACAAAGCCAAATAGTTAAAAAAAACATCACAACATTTTGCTTTTACTAACTAAAAATTCACATTTTTCTAATAATTTAAAATACAATATATATTATACTAGATGAGTTTCATAATAAGCTCTGATTGTCGATAAACCCAGAGTCTCAATCACAATCATCAACTGTCACATCATTAACGTGTTAATTTAATTCTTTGCTTCCGTTTAAAATTAATTTAATCACTTTTGTTATCACCAATTGCTTTTAATTTGATTTGATTTAAAAATAATTAGCGTCAATAATTTGACAAATTAACTGAGGTGTTAATTTGATACGTTTATCGTACAAGGCTTTTAAACGGTTACGATACGCGCATTGCCCGAGGAACAAATGTAAGAAATCGTTGCTTCAAACGAAAGGAAATTATATAAATATAATTGAGCAGTCGTCTAATAATATTCATTATCATCATTAACTTTTTTCTACTTTCATTAAATATAAAAAACTGGAACTATAATTACTCGTTTGTCATCTACACGGGAATAATAGATCATCTTGCGAGAGGAGATAGTTTCGTGTAAATGGTTCGTAAATAAATCATAAAATAGTTTATAAAACTGTTTTATGATTGATAATTACAATCTGGGCATGATTCGAAAGCTGCGATTAACTTTGATATAATCTATTATAAGTTATCGATTTTTGCGAGGTGCAACTAACTAAACATTAAGAGTAGTAGAGAATTGAATCGGATTGAACAAAGTTTAATGTATTTTGTATTGAGATCAAAATATTATTAATAATTTTAGACAAATGCTTACAATTATACTTTTCAGTAAAATGTATAATTATTAATGAAAAAATTTCACTTTATTGGCACCTTATAACAAATGCTTCAACATGCTATTTATAAAATCCCAATTATTTAAAAAATGCGAAGAAAAAAAAATGACAACAAAAGATATTTCACACTGTGCATGAATATACTTAATTATACGACTAAAAACTCGATTTCTATTTTCTGCACCTTTTTCTTCGAATCTCCGAAACGGCTGAGCCAATTTTTGCCAAAAACTAAGGGTTGTTCCGTACGCCCGAAATCATTAACAAAAAATTGTATCCACACATACACACATCCATTTTTTCTGAAGTATGCCAAAATGTTCAGAAACCTCTGAAACGTAAAAATATGCAACAATTTTCATTACAATAACTTACCCTACTAAAAGTTTAGAATTATTATGTGGCAAGTATAGATTTTTATGTGTTTTTTCAATATGTTATATATAAGAAACCATGTATACTTGAACTTTTTATACCTGAAATAAAACAACCTGATATTATCATATTATCATTTTTTATGAAAAAGGACTATTCTAACAATTAAAAGGACTAGTCTATTCTTCAAAAATTATAAAAAATTATATAAAATAGATTAAATTTTAAACTAGAACAATTTATGTAAAGAATCTTAAACTTGTATTACTTGAATAGTTGTTAGTTTTAGTTAAAAGGGATACAGACTAGTTTTTAAAGTATGCAATACTGTTGATCAAGTATCCATACAAAGATTATGAATTAAATAATTGAAGATTCATTCATAAAAAGATTATGAATACTTCTACTTGAATCTCTTTCTCTAAGTATTAATTCACAATTAACACAAATAAAATGTTTGACCATATAGATTGGTTTCCTCTTTTACTAGACAAAACGAGCCCCTCAAGGCATAAATAAGTATGTCGTATTTAATATATACCTATCATCCAACTGTCAAAAAAGCAAGAAAAATATTTTACAACAAAATTAATTGGTTGTTGATTGCATCTCTGATTGTATCGTTGTACAAAGAACTTCAACGCTGTTTGTTCATAATTGTTCTGTAGTCTTAAGTACGATTCTCTTCGGCGCGCTGCTTCCTGTTTTAAATCGAATCGTATTACAAACAGACAAGATAGGGACAATAATGCGCAGTTTTGCCATCAGTATGGAACTTATAGATCAGTGGTGATCAAACAAGAATCAAACAGCATTAGGCATAACTTGTGGTTCAAAAATAGGATTACAACATATAAATAGTTAAATATCTTTCGGCAACTTAACCATCTACAAATATTGATATTGGTTGTTTTGGCAAAGCTATAGGATTAAGATTTATACGTCATCACACAAAAATCGATCACGTGAACGATTTTTGGACACCCCTTTCCCTTGGTGTTACGTCGTGATATTCAGAATTACATCCCCTCTCCAATTTTTGAACAATTTTTTCGAATTTACGAAAAAAACGTAAAATTTGTTTTTTTTTTTTAATTTAGGTAAAAAATAAATACTCGTGATATCTTAC